CGGGGACAGCGGGGACAGAAGGGACAGCGGGACAGCGAGGACAGCGGGGACAGCGGGGACAGCGGGACAGCGGGGGACAGTGGGACAGCGGGACAGTGGGACAGCGGGACAGCTGCCACCCCCTGCGGGCATCGGGGGGTGTTGGCAGCTCCTGGGGGTCCTGCAGAAAGGGCAGCGGGTGTTGTACACTGTCACTGTCACTGTCACTGTCACTGTCACTGTCCCCATTGCTGTTCCCTATGCCTGTCCCTGTCCCCTGCCCCTTGTTCCCCGTCCCTGTCCCCTCACCCTTATCCCAGTCCCTGTCCCCATCCCTGTCCCCTGTCCCCATCCCTGTCCCCTGTCCCTGTCCCTGTCCCCATCCCTGTCCCCTGTCCCTGTCCCCATCCCTGTCCCAATCCCCTGTCCCCTGTCCCTGTCCCTGTTCCAATCCCTGTGTCCCCATCCCCATCCCTGTCCCTGTCCCCATCCCTGTCCCTGTCCCCTGTCCCCTGTCCTTGTCCCAATCCCTGTGTCCCCATTCTCATCCCCATCCCTGTCCCTGTTCCTGTCCCAATCCCTGTGTCCCCATCCCTGTCCCCTGTCCCCTGTCCCTGTCCCCATCCTTGTCCCCTGTCCCCTGTCCCCTGTCCCCTGTCCCTTGTCCCCTGTCCCTGTCCCAATCCCTGTGTCCCCATCCCTGTCCCCTGTCCCTGTCCCTGTCCCCTCAGGTCAGTGACTGGTGGGAGGAGTACGTTTACCTGCGCGGCCGCAGCCCCCTCATGGTCAACAGCAACTACTACGCCATGGTAAGGGGGTGCTGGGGGTGCTGGGGGTGCTGGGGGACCCCCAAACCCCCCCGGGGACCCCCCCGGCATCACCCGGAACACGAGCGGTGTCCCTTGTCACCAGGATTTCCTGTACGTGACCCCCAGCCCCATCCAGGCTGCGCGGGCGGCCAACGTGGTGCACTCCATCCTGCTGTACCGGCGGCGGCTGGACCGGGGCGAGATCCCCCCGGTGAGGGGGCTCGGGGGCCCTGGGGGGGTCCCGGGGGTGTCCCGGGGGTCCCGGGGGTCCCGGGGGTCTGGGGGATCCGGGGGGTCCCGGGGGTCCCGGGGGTCTGGGGAGTTTGGGGGTCCCAGGATTTGGGGGTCCCATGGGACTGGAGGAGTTTGGGAGATCCCAGGATTTGGGGGTCGCACAGAGCTGAAGGGTTTGGGGGTCCCAGGATTTGGGGGTCCCATGGGACTGGGGGAGTTTGGGGGGGTCCCAAAAGTTGGGGTGTCCCATGGGGCTTGGAGGTTTGAGGGAATCCCAGGATTTGGGGGTCCCACGGAGCTGAAGGGTTTGGGGGTCCCAGGATTTGGGGGTCCCACGGAGCTGAAGGGTTTGGGGGATCCCAGGATTTGGGGGGTCCCATGGGACTGGGGGGGTTTGAGGGGTCCCAGGATTTGGGGGTGGTCCCATGGGACTGGGGGGGCAATTTGGAGAACCCCAGGATTTTGGTGGGGTTCCATGGGACCCCCGTGGATTTGGGGACGTTTTGGGGGTTCCGGGCAGTGTCCCCATGGTTTGGGGGGGTGTCAGGGGCAGATTTGGGGGTCCCGGACCCCCCCGAACCCCCGGGCTGCCCCCCCAGATGATGGCCCTGGGGGTGGTGCCCATGTGCTCGTACCAGTCGGAGCGGATGTTCAACACCACCCGAATCCCGGGCAAGGAGACGGGTACGGAACCGGGCCGGGCTCGGGGGGTTCGGGGGGATTCGGGGGGGATTTG